CCTTTATACAGAGGATAGAATAAGCTAAAAATTGCAATGTATACACTACAGTAAATCCAATCCTCTCGCATTTGATTGTGAGTATAAAAAGTAAATCGTGTGCACACGTATTTATATATAAACGATACGTTTAATAGATCGAGATTTAATTTTAAGTTTAATTTAAAGTCTATGGAACACTATACACAGTACGAAACGAATATTGTGCATCATGATTTTTTTCTTTTCAAAATTTGCTTTAGTGTTCAAGAAAACTTGATTGTGTGAACAAATAGAATCCCAAGTAGCAAACTGACGTCACCAGACGTCAAAATGACGTCACTTTGATGTCTAATGACGTCATCGCCGTCAAAATGACGTATGCTTGCTTGGGATATCTTTTATACATTATTAGCAAATAAACAGCTAAAGAGAGATGGTCCGACACAGAAACTATATATAAAAATTTTTAGATATATCGCCTATATCACGTAAACGCAATTTACTTAACTAGACTGGAACAATCGCGATCTTCTTATTTTATATACTATAAGGACATAATTAATTATACGGAACGTTCTGCGATGGGTTGTTATTTAATCATTATTTTCCTTTCATTAGAAGGCAAACGAGCTAGCGAGAGAAAGGGAGAAAGAGAGAGAAAGAGAAAAAAAGAGAGAGAAAGAAGCATTACAGTATACAGCACAAGTATATGCTTCATCATTAATGAAGCATATGCAGAACAAGTTAAAGCATATGTTAGTTAAGAATTATATAAAATTTTAAACGAGATTTTATGCTACGTCAGAGTTTTTGACAGAAAATGGTACATCGATCTTTGCAGATTAAAAGAATCTCTGATTCTGACAATTATTTTCAGAGATGCGCATTATTTGTAATAGATGCATTTAAGAAGGAAAACGTAAAATGCTTATTTTATACTTTGCATTAAAAAAATACATTTTTTTAAAAAACTATTTTACATTTTCATTTAGAAAATGATTTTTATTACAATTTTTTATTTCAAATGCATTTGTTGTAAACTAAAAATTAATCAATATATTTAAATTTATTTTTAAAAAACCATTTAAAGATAAATAAATATATAAAAATATAAATATTTAATAAATTATTTTTATTTAAAAAACAATTAAAAAATGCCAATTTTCTATTTCTTATTTTAAATGGGTATATTGAAAGCATTTTTATATATTTTGTAAATTGAAACTCAGGTAGCAAGCGTCAAAATAACTTTATTTTGACGTTTAATGACATCAGTTTGCTATTTGCACTGTAAAAAAATTTGTAATATATTACATAAAAATGTGAAATTACATAAATAATAAATGTATACATTTTCATTAATTATCGTGTAATTTTACACTTATTATTTATATAATTTCACATATTTTTTTACAGTATGGAAAAGTTTATTTTCATTTTTTAATGGAATCAAGCATCCACATTTGCACATCTTGATTATTTCGATAATTACAATATGTTATAAATATAAGCCGATTAGATCGGATTTGTCAAAAACTCGGTAATTATTCTAATTCTTTTTATGTTTACCTGTACTTCTCTTTCTCTCTCTCTCTGCGCGCGCGCACATGGTGTCTTTCTCGTATTGACTACTCATCGGAAAAAAGAGAAAAATACATACTTAAAAACCTTTGAAAAAAGTAAATATTTAATACATCTACCAATACTTTTTTCATTTTCAATTATAATTTTGTTGGAGTATTAAAAATGGGATCTTGATATTAAAAGTATGATAACTTAATTTATATATATGTATATATGATAAAAAATGGCAATATTTTTTACATAAAATGGCAATATTTTTGACATAAAATATCCAGTAGATAATACACTAAATTGATTCCACTGCTAGATATCCTAATTTCTTACTGTATTTATATTATTCTTTTTTTAAAAAGCAGGTTTTAATTTTTTCTTTTGTACTGCTTTACTGTGCTCAGCATTTTGGGAAGACTTGCTTATCTAGCTAGCGGTTTTTATATCTTTCGACTTTCCTTCTTAATATTCGCAAGGATTCATAGACGAATATGCATTCATTATACATTCTTCAAATCAAATGCTATTATTTATTAAGAAGTTTGTTCATTTCTTTTCTGCAGGGCATGAAAAACAGATAAAGACAGAGAATCCTATATCATAAAACAAAGAAACGTTGCTACATTATTCCAACGCTTCTCAAAAAAATATTTTTTTATTTATTATCAATTATGATTATTACATAAAAACAATATTGTATGAATATTTATTCAAATTCCTGCAAAATATTTTTTGACATATAAAGTTTGTTATTTAGAGATGTAATATAAATAATATCATATTATTTACAAAATTATATTAATTACTATTTGTATAACTTTTACATGTATTACATATAAAAACATATGTAAAATTCTTTTGCAAGGAATGTATTCCAATTATAACGTAATATTTTTATTTTACTGAACAAACTCCTTAAATGATCCATATTATAATAATATTAAATGCGAATGCATATGTTAACTAATAAAGTGAATATGTTACTTTATATTTCACTACTCTCGTATATTTTATACGAATACTACAAATAAAAAAATATAATCATAAACTAACAAGAAAACAATCTACATATATATGACAAGAATATATTCAAAGTAATTATATTGCATATATAGAAAAATAAATGAAGATAATGAGGTAATGCGTATATATATGTATACATATATTAAAAACTGATAACTTGCACACAAAATATAATTAATAGAATTATTGTACAAATAATATCGAACTTTTGTGCAGATCACTTAGTTTCCTTTACCAGTGATAAGTCGATATTGTATGTACAAATTGGCACTTGTTCAGTTTGGAATATCGTTTTTTTTTTTTTTCACTTTAAGGCTCCTCGCCGCTGCTATGTCAGATTGTGACGTCACAATTCCAACATGATCGGCGAGGAGCCGGGAGCCTTAATAAGGATTCCGATGCGTGGTCAACCGAGAACATTTATGTATAAATCGATCTCAATATAATATGAATAAGTATTTTTCTTTAAATTGCGCTAAATACGCTCGCGTGGCGCAATCTTTTTTCCTTTCTGTTTCAAACTTATAAACTATTACACGTCTAAAATATTTATATATGTATATATATGTATATAACGACTACGGACGGTAGCTAAGCGCACGTCCTGAACCGCGTTGAATGTCCTTCCCTTTCTCATCATTTTGTTAAAATCACTTTATTACATTGAACACAATGATATATCGAAATTCTTATTTATATCGTTTATAGTTAAACTTTAAATTTCTGTATATTAATTAGTAGCTGTTTATTATTATATATATTCTGGTAAATTAAAGCGGAATAAATCTCAAACTAATTGAGATATTGTATACACATACAAATGCTAGTTTTATAAAATTAAGAAAAATTTTTCTTTGTAATTTAAGCACGAAATATAGTATATTGCGTAATACAGTAAAACTATTGTACGAAAAAAAGCGATTCTTTGTAATAATAATACGAAACATACAATTAATATTTTTTGTACGACGCTTAGCTCGCGAGAAAAATAACTTCGAAAATTGAGAAATTAATAATATCCGAATTTTTAAACTCGAATAGTGTTTTTTAGTAATTTTTTTTATCGATTATATTTTATCGATTTATTTTGCCATCATCTTTTCAATTATATACTACGAATCACAATACACGTTTGCGTAAAATAAATAATTTTCATATAATTATTTCTCGTAAAATAAATAAAAAAACAAGAAAAAATTTGTTAACAATTTGTTAAAAATTATTTTGAAGAATTTTAAAAAGAGCAAAAAGGATTTTTATTTTGGCAGTGATTTTAATAGGCTTATTTCCCATTTGATATATTCGTTATCAATTTTATACATTTTAAAATCATTTGAAATTATTTGAAGAGAGATTATATAATATATTAATAATTAATATAATTATGTAACTTTTTAAAAAATTTTTTTAACTCTCTTCTTTTTATTATTCTTCTAATAAATGTTGCTTACTGCAGAAGCGAATAATTTCTTAGTACGAATATTAGCAATTTTGTAAAAATTGAACAGAATGTTTCAGAATTAGATGTTTTCACTTAAAATATAAAATATAAATAAGAAAATTCTTGTAAAAATGACTGTGCAAATGCCTTGTTTAAGAAATATTAACATCTAAAATTGTAAGAATAAATAATAATTATTTTGCGGCTATTAATATGAAATTAAGTTCCCACATTTGTAGATAAAATAATATAACTATTACAAAAACTATATAAAATATTTATTTAAATGCTTTTGTGAATTTACGTGAAACCTAAAAAATTATGCTTTACATTTACTTTAATAGTGAATATATCAATAAAATATTCGTATATAATTTTTGTAATAAAATATTAATGCTTTTTATTATTTTATTTTAGAATTTTTATATTTTTTAAATAATAAATAAGATAGTAAAACACACTAATTAATTTATTATAATTTGATAATTTTTATATATTTAATTAATATATTGTTAAAATAGATGTCAGTATCTCTTGAACAAGATTTTTTTCTAAAGGAATCCTTTAAATTATTTTTAGATTCAAATTCATTTTAAATTGAAACATTTTAATTCTGGAATACGTTGTGCATTTATAGAAACACTCTGTTTATTGCGATGTTTTATTCTTTTTTTGATTAAATAAAAGAAAAAAGATGTTAAATTAATATCTCTTACATCAATTTAATGTCGTCGTAATGTTTATGTATTTCAATAGCAAACAACTGTTGATTATCATTGCGATGCATTCATGATCAGTTTTTTTTGTCTTTAGGCACAGCCATAGGCAGTGCTTTTTCGCGAATTGAAAGAAAAAGAAATCACAAATATTTATAAATAGAACAAGGTATATGTTGAAATTCTTGGAGGATTGTCGCGTTCTGTGAGTGTGTACTTTTGGCTCGAAAAAATCGAATAAATCGCGTAATCGCTCCTTTTTCAAGCAAGTTGATTACAATGATTCTTGAAAATTCATAAAGAAGTATAAAGGAATATTATCGCACGCTGTATATGCATTGTGTATGAAATAAAAAACAAGGAAAATTGATTGATTTGCGCGGTAAAGGGGTGACAAAGCGTGTCCGCTGGCGTGCAGGCATTTGCCGTTTTTTGTTCTGGTTAAATTTGAGGTAGAGTAAAATTTGTAGGATTATATATAGAAAGAGAGAGAGAGAGGGAGAGGAAAAAGGGTAGAGTATCGTCGACATATACAGCAGAGCGGAGAAACCTTTGGCAGTATAGATTTTGCACTTCTTCTCAAAATTAAACCCAAGGTCGTTCGCCCGATCGCCGTCCTTGAACTCACATCATTGTTCCGCATTACTTTGCGCCTGGTATTTTTCCTAAAACCTGAACATAGAATAATATTTAATTATATTGAATGAGTCTATAATATTCACGTGCTTATGTAAAAAGTGAACTGAATAGGTCAGTAATATCGATCATTATTCATATCATTGAATCAATAGAAATAATAAATTATGTATCAATTTTATTTGATCGTACACAATTAGTTTCACTGTCAATATTTTTTAGACTTGCGATATCTTGCAGCTAGAAAAAATTTTTTAAGATTTAAAGATTTCTTTCTCTATAATGTAAATAATTACAAGTTTATCAAATACTGTATTTTTTTTAACTTTTTCTTACTTTGTTTATATACATATGTGGAATTTGATGCATCCTACAATTTGGATAAGGATTCGTATGTTTCAATAAAATGATGTGATAATTCATTCCTGTCGATAAAAAAAATCTTCATTCTTCTTTCCACTTTTTTTCAGTCCATCATTTCAGTTCATACATGATCAATAATACTGTTAGTGCTAAAAAATACTGACAGTATTATTGATTGTGCATAGATTTACTTTAAAACAATTAGAATGTTCTTCAATACTTCTTTTCATTCCAGTCCATATGATTGTATGGTTTATTTAAAAAATTCGAATCTTTATTATTTCTTCTTCCATCATCCTAATTCTCACACGATCAGTAACACTATCCATATTTTTCAGTAATAACAGTATTATTAATCGTGTACGATTATTTAAAACGCGAAGATACATATTTACACGTTTTTTTTTTTTTTTTTTTTACTTAAGACGAATTTATTTCCGAAAAATGAAGAAAAGTAAAAAAAAATGAAAAAAAATAAAAAAAGAAGAAATGAGAAAGCGAAGAAAAGAATAAAAAAATTCTTCTTTTTATTCCAGTTCATGATTGTATGGTTCACTTAAAAAAATCGAATCTTATTTCTTCTTCCATCACCCTAATCCACACACGATTAGTGATACTATCAGTATTCGTTAGTAGTGACAGTATTATTAATCATGTACGATTATTATTTAAGACGCAAAGATGCACGTTTGGCATGACACATACTTTTTTACTCAAAGCAAATTTATTTCCGAAACATGAAGAAAAGAAGAAATGAAAAGAAGAAGTGAAAAATGAAGAAAAGAAGTGAAAAAGCGAAGAAAAGATGAATAAAAACTTTCATGTTAATTTACTTTGGAAAGATCTACCCCAGTCAATGCGTGTACAGCTGGTGGCACTTGTCCTACAAGACGTGTAAATTCTCCGCCGGTCGCGTCGCTTCCGCCTAGAAGCACGATTTCTTCCGTTCGCGCTAGCGGCGCCGCGACTTCGGCCGCGATCTGCAACGAAGAAGAATATTTTATTGTTCGCAATGATGCATATTACAATGTGCGAAGAGTATAAAGACGTAACACACTCACTTTTGGCAAGGCATTCAGAGTGATATTGAGTATAGCGGCTTCACCGTACTTCTTATAAACCGCCGCTTTCATTCGCATACGTTCAGCTTCCGAGACACCGACAGCTTCGAGAGCATAAGCATCAGCCTCTCCGAGCAGTCGAATCTTCTCAGCCTCGGCTTTCGCTACGTTCACAGTCTGAGTTCTGTCACATAGAATAATTTAGAGATTTTTTACAATTTTAGAAAAAGTTCTGTTTTATATAAAATATATATTATATGTATATATATAATATTAATAAATATTATATATAAAATATTAGGGTATTCGATAAGAGGTTTATTGAAAATAATGAAGAGATGGTGAAGATAATTTTTTAAATTACGTATAAACCTTGAAGAAAAAGATTTGTTTTTTGTTAGACAGTTAATTGAATTTTTTCAGAGAAATTTTTTTATTGAGACATCCCTACCTTTTTCCCTCGGCTATTCTTCCCATTTTATAATACTCAGCCTCGGCTGGTAACCGAACTGTGCTCTGAAGTTCGTGTTCTTTTCGACGAACTTCTTGCTCCTCGACCTCGATTTGCTTGCGCCTTTCTACAACTTCGATCTGTATTTCTTCATTTCGTATTCGCTGTTTTATCTTCGCTGCTTGAAGTTCATAAGCCAACTGAGCCTCGGCTTTCTGAAGATAATCGGAAAAGAATAAATAATATGTAATCACAACAATTACAATTAAAATTTTATTGAAAATAATGCGCATTTTTTTGTAACAAAAATTTGACTTACAGCTGTGTTCACTTCCTGATCAAAGTTAGCTTTCTGCAATTGATAGAGTCTCGCGTTGTCCTCTATCTTCGTATCAGTATTATATTTTATGTCCATTGCCGATTTCTCGCATTCTGCTTCCTGTTATGGACAATTAAAAACAGTTAATATATATAATTATTTCTTATATATTCAATAATAATTATTAAATATATAATTTATAAATAAATATTTTATAATTATTTTATATACTTTAAATTATTATATTATATATTTTAAATATTTTATTATTATTGTATATATAATTATATATATATATATATATATATATATATATAAATATAATATAATCAATTAATAACTATAATTAGCTTAGCATAAAGATCCGAAAATTGAAGTTTACCTTTTATAGGCGGAAACTTACCCTGATACCGGCATCTCGATTTGCTTCGGCGACACCAACATCGGCGTCTCTTTTAACAGCAGCTGTCTGGGCTTTACCTAGCGATGTCAAGTACTGGACATCATCGTAAACGTCCTTTATAGTGAATGAAAGGATCTCGATACCCATCCGGCCAACATCCGGGCGGCGACTTCCCGTACAAGAGCTGCGAATTGATCTCGATCCTTGTAGACTTCCTCCACCGAGAGCGTTCCTGAGAAATAAAAATAAAACTCATTAGAATAATAGCCTTTAAGGCTCTTGGCTCCTCGCTGACCAGGTTGGAATTGTGACGTCAGAGGCGAGAAAACACGCTAAAAGTTTTTAGATGTCATTTCGAAATAAGAAGATATTTCGATGAAACAGTACTTCAGATGGTTTTAGCACACTCTTAAAATATCTCCAAAACTATTCTTTTTCCTTTATAATCAACAGCTGTAAAATGACTAATATATGAGGCCCAATCATTTCTCGCCTCTCACAATCTAACATAGCCGCGGCGAGGATCCAGATTAACGAATAAATTAATTATTTTTAGAAATACAACACGATATATAGGTTTTTGCATTCTTTTCGATTATCATAATCTATTAGTTAGTCTTGGTTAAATCGCAAATTTCATCATCATTATCAGAATAAAATGTCAAGAGAAAAAAAAATAAATTATACTTTGAGCAGAGAAAACAAGGTGATATGGGATGTTGAATGATTCAGTTGTACAGTTGTTGCCTACTGAAAGGGAGATTCTAAAGTTCCAGGATCCCTAAATAATTTTTCTTTGTTCAAAAAAGGTTCCCATAAAATATATATGTATATCATGTCATGCATAACCCAGACAGCATCATGTTCAAAATTGGGACATCCTTAAGACATTTTCAAAAAATCCTTAACTCTTTAGGACATCTTATATGACATGATACCTAAAAGACATGTTAAAGATGTCTTATGTTCTGATTTTGGACATGTTTCGATTTTGCTGTGCTGTCTGGGAATTATCTAAAGTTGAATGTTGATCAAATATACCTAATATAGTTAATCCTAGTTAAATCGCGAATTTCATCATCAGAATAAAATGTCAAGAGAAAAAAATAAATTATATTTTAAGCAAAAAAAACAAGGTGATATGGGATGTTGAATGGTTCAGTTGTAGAATTGTTGCCTACTGAAAGAAAGATTCTAAGGTTCCAGGATCCTCAAATAATTTATCTTTATTCAAAAAGGTTCTCATAATATATATATATGTATTTATCATCTCATATGCATAACCCAGACAGCATCATGTTCAAAATTGGGACATCCTTAAGAAACTTTAAAAAAATCTTTAAACATTTTATATGATATCTAAAAAGACTTAAAGATATCTTATGTTCCGATTTTTTGGTGCTATTTGGGAATCATCTAAAGTTGAATGTTGATCGAATGTATACCTAGTATAGCTCGCAGATGACCCTCCAAGGTGGACAAAATGGTGGATTTGATCTCGTGGACGCTCTTTCCGAGAAACTGTTCGCTGGCAGTGTGCAACAATTCGTCGGCCTTCATGATTTTGCACTGTGCCACCCGGTGACGGTCAGAGGTACACCCTGGGCCGTTTCCACGCTCTCGCACACCGGATTTAGGGTCATCACCTCCAGGGACAGTCGCTGCACATCGGTGACGAACCACCAAGTGAACGCGTACCCGCCGACGATAGTCCTTTTCCTCATCGAACCGCAGCATCCTCCTGAAACACGAAGGTAAGAAATTTTTGTATTATAAGGAAAACATTTGTTTTTTCATTTTTTATTTTTTTATGCATATTCATATTTTTATTATACATATTTTATTTTATATATAATATTGAACTCTTTTTAACATTTATTTAATACATTCAATGTCTTTGACTTAAACAATTGAACATTAATGTTTAAATAATTAAATATATAGTATATCAACATAGAGTTGATGATATCCCATATAGGTATAAAATTTTATATTTATTTATAGCTACATATTATTGTAAAAGCATTAAAATATTAAAGATAAAATATTTTCCCTTCCACATATGTATATATGATCTTTATTATTATAATCAATAGATTTTAAGACACTGTATCAATATAATGTTACAAAAATATATAACAATCCTTATGTGATTAAAAATTTATTTTATATTATTTTTACATTATTTTTATTTGACATTTTGTGCATATGTGCATGAGACTTATCATTGTCAAAGATGAAAGCAGATGATGATGGGAACTGAAGGTCAAGACAAATGAATTTGTTTCTTTATCTTTAGATTGTTGAGACTAATTCAAGGAAAGGAACAAAATGTTCATTATAATTAAAGAAGATTTCTACATAATTTAGTTGCGCCTACTTTCTGCGCTCGGCTCTCTTATTAGCCCACTTCCTATTTAAATTTTTACATATTTAATATATTAAATCTCTCGTTTTGCTTATTATTATTATCTTCGCTATCATTATACAAATTTTTATCATTTATCATTTAATTATAATTTAAAGGTTATTATTGATATACGATAAGTTTAACTATTTGCGTTTCATCAAACATATAATCGTTGCAAATATTTATTTAAACATTCGCATCATTGGATGTCTGATATGCGTAATCATATACACACACATACATACATACATACATACATATATATATATATATATATATATATATATACATTTATACAAATAGAATATTAATTAATGTCTGGCGCAAATAATTTTTTATTTGACGATAAATCCAGAATTCATCAAAATGTCATTAAAAAATTAGCGCTTGATAATGATACGACACATATGTATATGAGATAAAATAATACGAAGGTAATGATTATAACATTTAAGAAATATACATTTTTATGATATGGAGAATATAATCCAAACAATATTATATCTGTATTTTAATCACAATTACTTCTAAACATTTTATGAAATACAGTATATCACTGAAAAATATTTTAAGATTGATATATTCTTGATTTTTTGATATTTTAAAAATATTAGGGTAAATTGCAATCAAATGTGTGTGTGTGTGTGTGTTAATCGTAAATTGTATTGCTCTATTAAATTGCACGGGTCTTTTAATTGTCAGTTCATATTATTTACACACTTTTATCGATTTGACAATCTACTGCCACATTGTTGATGAAATAAGACTGTGCACATGGAATGTACATAAATCAAAATATGATATACGACACGTATGAATTTGCGATTACGATTAATATACGTGCCAGAATACATCTTCAATTTAATAATTTAATTGCAGATTTCGGAGCAAGAGACAATATTCTGTATTAAGTACAATAGAATTATGAATATTCGAAAATATAATAAAAAAATATTTTAACACAACAATATAAAAGGCTAAAATAACATTGATTTTTAATAATTAATAGTACGAAGTATACTTATTTATTATTATTATATTTAGTATTTTTTATTATTATTATTTTATTATTTATATTATATTTATTATTATATTTATATTTATTTATATTACATATATTTACAAAAATATATAAGAAAAATGCATACTTGAACTGAAGAAAAAATTTAAAAATTTAGATATGTGCGCATATCATAAAAATAAATTTTAAGTGTTTTTGTATTAATATAATATATTAATAACAATATTTTCTTGTATTAAAAAATGCAAAAAATTAGAAACATTCTATATTGATGTAGGATACTTAAATAAATTATTTTATAATGTTATAAAATTATAAATTAAAAAAAAATAAATTTTGAAATAATAAATAAATCATTAATTTATAAATTATAAATTTATTTATATAATAAAATTATATTATAATAATTTTCCAATATTATTATAAAAAAGTGTCCTTCTCTCTTTATTTTTTTAAATACCTTAAATAGAGTTATTAATGTTATATCGTATTTTTCTATAGTATTTTATCATTTTTCTGAATTTATAAATGTACATATATAAATTCAATCTATCAATATACATTATATACAAAATTATATGTGTGTATATTAAATATACATAATTATACGTATATAATATATATTACGTCAATTACACTTTTGTATATATGTATATGTGTATTTATTCTCTCGATCAAAATATAATAATTCATATATGCACAAGTGGGCGATATTTTTTTGTCGAATTAAGCTGTGTCTTCTTTCATACGCAATGGGGAGCGCCCCTCTTCATAGATATATATATATATATATAATCCAAAATAAATCGCGCTACAGAGGTTTATTTTCTCTCACAAACCAGTTTAAATTGTACACCCGCCAACGGGGTAACTCTGACTAAAGTCAGTGGAGTTCTCACAATACTAACCGGAAGGCTTATCATTCGGTAAGATTTACTGAAAAAATTACATAAAATATAACGTATGTAGCAAATAAAAATACTATTCGTATTTTATATACTCCAAGTTCTTTGTAAATGTTAATTTTTCTTATGAGAAATTTTCTATCGTGAATATAAAGATTTAGAATTTAAATTCTCTCTCTCTCTCTATATATATATGGCATTAAGAATGTTAGAATTTATACATATACGTAAAGATACTCTTTTTCATCAATTTATTTGGCAAGATTATTATTATTTTAAGAGACTCGGTAAATAAATTCATGAGACTAAAAAATATTTTGTGAATATTCCTATATTTTGACAATTATAATTAATTTTCTGATATAATATTTCCTTCTATGTTTCTAACAAATGCTAATAATCTAAAATTAGGAAATAATATTAATTTATACGATATGAATCCTACTCTAAAGTCATACGATGACATCACACCATGTGTTCTGTTCGTCGACGAAATGAGATATGTTCTTAGACCACACGTGATTTTCTCGACTAGTGCATATCGTAGTTATCTTTTCTTGTTGCACGTGATAAGTGCTGAGCAAATAATTGCAATCTAAAACGCTTTTACTTGATTTAAAAAATTATGATATTGTCAATAAAATAAATTAATGTTCCATTATAAATATATTATATAAATTTTTTAATTAATTTTAATTAATTAATTATATTTTATTTGATGTGATACACTGATTTTTTAAATGTAGATATGCGAAAATGGTGCTTCTTGCTGGCCCTCGCGCATTATGCTACTTCTATCAAAGCACATCAGGTAAATAAAATAATATTGTTCTAATCAAAAATTAAATTCATTTATAAATACGAAATTATATTATGTTTTAATGAGCTCCTTTTATTTCTTATTTTAAAATATATCTATTCGACAGTACAATCATCACATCTTACTTTCAGATAAGCTTGATTTCTGACAATAGCTTGACGTCATAATATGCTTAGTTTTGATGTAGTTAACGTATTATATAAACAATATTCAAATTCTATTTTTGTTAATTTTTGCAGCATTTGTTGTAGCATTTCTTGACACAAGGATTGTAGTTATTAAAGTATAAAATGCATATAATTAGGTTTTAATTAAATATTTCTTAAATTACTTATATGTATATAAAATTAATATATTTAATAATTACTTATAATTAATATTTAATTCATAAATCAATTATATTTTTTATATTTATAGCTTACGTATTAAAGAAATCAATAATTAAAATAAGAGTATTAAATTCACAAGTTTAAAATGTTCAGATAATTATTTTTGAAAGAGATATTTCTATAAAAATTCATTATATGACCTTGACCGTTAATGATTCATATCGTTATCGTTTGAGTGCATTCATTTGCATGTGTTATATTTTTCCGTGATTCGACATTGAATTTTTAACTAGTTTTATTTTTTAGCAGTTGCAGGTAGTGCAACTCTTACGAAAAATATATTTCACAATAATTCGGATAATACAATTATAAAAATGCGGGTGTTATCGTATGGGCCAAGGTTAAATCTGTATAAATGCATTGAAATCTGTGGAGAAATATTTTTTTCATACACTTTTAAGAGTACGCGCGATCACAAAATAGCTTCAATTATTTTGCTCAAAATGTATATTTTCCTAACCACGGGTCTACAAGCTTTAGCCTCGGTGAGCATTTATTTCACATTTCAGAAAAGCGACAGCACATAAGTTTTGGGGGCAGATAACATTTACTTATTGCTAGATAAAATTGTAAATTTTTCCTTTGAATAATAAACCTTTTGTTTATGCCCGCTCAAAGCGATTCTTCTTCCCACCAAGTCAAGTAACAACGCCAAGTACTGGCAACAGCGACGGATGTTGCTCCTGCAAATTGAGGATATTCAATACATGAGCCGTGCTTGTGGAGGCAGCAGTACTTTTATGGCCCTGGTTCAAAATGTGATGTCCTCCAGATGCGACGTCGCTGAACCTTGCCAAAGATTGGGCAGCGACGAAGCACCGAAGGAAAATGAATGGTATAAAATCTACAGGATCTCTCAAAAATATAATTTTTTAAATAATATAATACTATTTTTATATGATATTATTTTATTATTATAATTTTATTATTTTATTATTATAATTTTATAAATTTTATTATTATTATTATATAATATTATTTTTTTATATTTAAATCTATTTGTTTCGAAACGCAAGATTCTTCATTCCTGATTAGTTCATTGAACCCTTCGAAGCAAACATCTTTACACAAGAGAAGCATCACATTTTGAACTGGCGTTATTATAATGTTTTTCTAATTATAGGTTCGATTTTGTAATCATCGGCGCAGGTGTGGCAGGGCCCATAATCGCGAGAAGATTAAGTGATAATCCGTGGCGAAAGATTTTGCTCATCGAAGCTGGTCCGGAAGAACCTACCATGACGGCAATACCAGGACTTGCATTTAATGCTGTCAATACGTCTCTCGATTGGAACTTCAAGACGGAACCAACATCACCGCATCCTACTGCCTGTTTGAGTATAAAATATATATCATCTTACATAGTTTGATCTAGTTTTCGCATAAACTTAAGGAGACGCTGCCAGCTCTGTTTTATCGACCGAGCAATTATTTTTGTTGGCAGTTAATTGTAAGACCAGCACGAACTTGAAATTGAATGAAGGAATATAAGTGAATATTTAAATATAAATTTAACATATATAAGATAGGCAATAAGAGCCAAATCGCGGATGACAGTGCGTTATTCTAAACGAAACTAAATTTTTTCGTTAGAATTAAATACCTGTGCACAAGGCACCAAATTTTTACTTGGACACGGCCAAGATATAAAATTGGAATAATCTCTACAAGAGATTTTAATTCCATGTATCCCCTATTCCCCCTAAAGAAATAAAGTGCGAGAGAAAAATATAGATCCGAAAGTCGCAGAATCGGGAATCGAACCCGAGACCTTTCGCTTGCCGGGCGACTGCTCTTCCAGTTGGAAGAGCAGTCGCCCGGCAAGCGAAAGGTCTCGGGTTCGATTCCCGATTCTGCGACTTTCGGATCTATATTTTTCTCTCGCACTTTATTTCTTTAGGGGGAATAGGGGATACATGGAATTAAAAATCTCTTGTAGAGATTATTCCAATTTTATATCTTGGCCGTGTCCAAGTAAAAATTTGGTGCCTTGTGCACAGGTATTTAATTCTAACGAAAAATTTAGTTTCGTTTAGAATAACGCACTGTCATCCGCGATTTGGCTCTTATTGCCTATCTTATATATGTTAAATTTATATTTATATATTACAGAGCCTAGTTAAACTCTTAATGAATATTTAAATATTAATATGGAAGCCTAATAAAAAAGTACGTATGTGCATACATATGCACGAAAATTTTAGACAAGCTATTCTCTTTTATTAGGCTTTCAAATTGATATCTAAACATTCCCTTATATTCCTTCTTTTATCCAAGTTCGTGCTGGTCTTATTTTGTAAATGCCAACAAAAAAGATAACATTATCTAAAAAAAAAAAAAAAAATTGCTCGGTCAATAAAACAGAGCTAGCAGCATCCTTGGCTCTTCGCCGACCATATTGAAATTGACGTCAGAGACAAGAAAACACACGTCAAAAAAATTTTTGCGTGCCATTTTTATATAACGTTAGATAATTATTAACCAAATGATTTAAATCTTACAAGGGACATCTATAATAAAATTTAATTATAAATAGGACTTAGATCAATATTGCCATTTTTTTAGAAACAGACGGCGTTTGCACTTGGCCAAGGGGAAAAATGATTGCTGGAACTGGCGGTATGCACGGTATGATGTACGTTCGTGGTCATCCTGATTTTTACAATCGTTGGGCGAAGGCAGGAAATCCTGGCTGGTCCTACGACGAAGTCACTCGTTACTTCGAACGGGCGGAGAATCCGGTCGATCCGCTAATTCTGTCGGACAAATCCAGGAGTCAGAAGGAAGGTGGCCCAATTAATATTCAGTATTATCCCTATAAACCGGAATTTGCGGACGCGCTGCTGACAGCTGCCGGCGAGCTGGGTTACAGGACCTCCCAATTAAAGGAATACAAGCAAACTGGCTTTATGATCGCGCCGATGACAATCGAGAACGGTATGCGTCTCACGACTTCGAAGGCATACTTAAGACCTGTCCACAATCGCAGAAATCTGCAGGTCTTGACAAATGCACACGTTACCAGGATTTTGATCAGTCCGTGGGAACGAAAAGCTATTGGCGTGGAGATGATAGATAAGAACGGCCAGACGAGAGTCGTGAAATGTGGCAAGGAGGTGATTTTGACTGCTGGTGCTATAGGCTCACCGCAAATCCTGATGAATTCTGGCGTAGGACCCGAAGAAGACCTGACCAAACTCGGCATTAAGGTCTACAAAGATCTGCCAGTCGGGAAAAATTTGCACAATCACGTCTCCGTAGCAGTTCACATGAGCATCAAAAATATTCCGTACGAGGTCATGACTATGGAAGCCGTGAATGAATTTCTGAAGGACAAAACCGGCCCGCTGGCCAGTACTGGGGTTACTCAAATTACCGCATTCTTGGAAAGCAATTATACGATCAAAGGTCTACCGGACATTCAAGTCTTCTTTGACGGCTTCAGTTCCGTCTGTCCGAAGACTGGTTTGTCGAATGAATGCTTCGATGGTAGGATCGGCTATTGTACGGATAGAAGAGAGATTATTGCAAGACCTACAGTGGTTTGCGCGGAAAGTCTAGGCAACATGAAACTTCGATCGAATAATCCTTTAGATCCACCGCTACTTTATCCAGATTATTTCACGAATGAGAAAGACTTGATGATCCTGCTTGATGGTATCAAACAGGTCAGCAGGCTTGTTGATACGCCCACTATGAAAAAATGGGATCTTCGTTTAGAACAAGAGAAAAGTTCATTATGCAGCAAGTAAGTATTTTCTATTATTATCCATTATTAAGCAAAATTTATTCATAAATTATTAGTAAACTTTGATATCAACTTTTTTCATATTAGGTTTGTAATCTGCTGCTAATATAACAACAGAGATTGGCAAAAATTGAATTTAATATTAGATTCGATAGTCCTTTCGCTTTGTGTGACATACTTTCTCTCATTCAAATTTCATTTGGCATGGATATAAAATCTACAAGGTGCGGCTTGTTAATATGGGCTCAAAGGTGTAGTAATATATCTATTTTATGTCCATTTGAAATGAAACTGGAAATGAAATGCGAGAAAGTATGCCATATAAAAATAAGCGAAGAAACTGTCAAATCAAATATTTATAAAATTTTTAAATACTTTACATCACTAATCCATTTAAATAACTAGGAAGTGTAGATCTTGCTCGATTTCTATTATCCACCCACCAACTTAGTTGGTAGTAATAACTCTTTTTGAATTTATAGCTTTTTTCCTAATAATTTGTAGTGCTTGGCACAATTTATTTGGATTTGTAATTTTTTTAGCTATCACTTCGGCACGGACGCCTTCTGGATGTGTCAGATACGCGCGGAAACTGGACCAGAAAATCATCAAGCTGGAACATGCAAGATGGGACCGAGTACCGATCCAACTGCGGTAGTGGATTCGGAACTTCGAGTACACGGTATACCGAATATTCGCGTCGCCGATGCTTCTATCTTCCCCATTGTACCAAACTCGAACCCTATCGCAGCTATAATGATGGTGGCAGAGAAAACAGCCGATATGATTAACACTGTTTGGCCACAGTAATTTCCAATATAACACGCAATACATTATGCAATAATATATGAAAGGTTCCGAAAAAACCGTATTTGAAATGTCATTTCAATGATAAATTCTTTGATCAATTGAAAATCACTTTCCTTTAACAAAAATAGTGCAAGAGATGATCATTGCAACTTTTATATTTTTTGTACCATATATATCAAATAAAAATTTTAATTACACTACGTTCCACTGCAATTAATGAAAAAATGTAGTTACGATTTATTATCCATTTTGACGTTCAAAAGAAATCCTCTTTGATTAATTGTATATAATTTGATTAATATAGTACCACGATTTTTTTTAATTAACTGAAACTGGAGTTTTTATTTTAAACTAAAGTCCCGAAGTTTCAACTTGGGAATTTTAGGCAACAGCCTATGAGCACTTGTCTACATTCTTTATAACATAATTCCGGTTTATAACTTTTTGTGCAAAGCGAGGTATATCTTTATTACCAGTACTTTCGATGCAAAATGAGATTTACAACCTTCTACAGTTCTAAATAAATTTTTCGAGATAAAATCAATATCAATGACGGCGATCGCGACGTGATCAATCGCAACGCGTGAGTAATCGCAAAATGGTCATTTGCAATACATGGGTAATCACAATGTCATCAATTGCAACGTATGAATAGTGGAGAATTATAACAATCGGAATTGTGTATAATTCCAATATGGGTAAACAGGTGTCGCTCTTGTCGTCAGCAAGAGAATACTCAGTCTATTATATAAGTCTATGAGTTTGTGTATATACAAAAATCTCTCAACATATAAAATTAGCTGTAATATGTTACGTATTCAAGAAGTTTTATTGCAGCCAAAAGTTAATTGTTAGAACCTCCGGTTCATATTTTTTAAAAGAAATATGTCGACTATGATTAATATGATATTCATAATTAAATTATGATTAATATTTATATTTATATAATTTATATGATATTTATAATCAAATATAAAATCTATTGCTGAAAAGTTCTGAACTAAATTATTGAAGATCCATTATGTATCTACCCAGTTTTCAAGTTTTTTTGTCATTTTAGAAATATAAAGCCAATGTCATAATTGATAAATTCACAATAGCGGAATTAATATATAGCAGATATTTAAGATTAAAAAACAAATGTTCTGATTTTTGTTCAAAATTATATATAGAGATATTTTCATGATTATTCAATATATATAATATATATATATTTAAATCTAATGTCAAAACTGATAAATAGTAAAAATGGATATGTCAAATTAAAAAATGTTTAGATTTCGGCAAAAATATGAATTTTTGATAATAATAGATAGGGATTTGTACTATTGATTCAAATTTGATATCTATACTAACCAATTCCCTAAGCTAAATGAAAAAAAGGGAAAGTATTAAAGTAAGAAAGTATTTTAATTGTTATATCTCTATACCTACACAGTTCAAATCACAAATGCGTCTGACACCAATTTGTATTTTTTGTATGTCTACGTATTACAATAATACATATGTATGTATATGTGTGATCAATATGTGATTTACTTTTCAATTTACTTTAAATATATGTATTTATATTTATATAAATTTAACATATATAAGATAGGCAATAAGAGCCAAATCGCGGATGACAGTGCGTTATTCTAAACGAAACTAAATTTTTTCGTTAGAATTAAATACCTGTGCACAAGGCACCAAATTTTTACTTGGACACGGCCAAGATATAAAATTGGAATAATCTCTACAAGAGATTTTTAATTCCATGTATCCCCTATTCCCCCTAAAGAAATAAAGTGCGAGAGAAAAATATAGATCCGAAAGTCGCAGAATCGGGAATCGAACCCGAGACCTTTCGCTTGCCGGGCGACTGCTCTTCCAACTGAGCTATTCAGATCCTTTCGATTCTATACTTTTCTCTGTTATATATATTAATGTTGGTAAATAAACGCCTTTAAGCCAGCGTGTATAAATTAAGAGTTTAACTAGGCTCTGTAATATATAAATATAAATTTAACATATATAAGATAGGCAATAAGAGCCAAATCGCGGATGACAGTGCGTTATTCTAAACGAAACTAAATTTTTTCGTTAGAATTAAATACCTGTGCACAAGGCACCAAATTTTTACTTGGACACGGCCAAGATATAAAATTGGAATAATCTCTACAAGAGATTTTTAATTCCATGTATCCCCTATTCCCCCTAAAGAAATAAAGTGCGAGAGAAAAATATAGATCCGAAAGTCGCAGAATCGGGAATCGAACCCGAGACCTTTCGCTTGCCGGGCGACTGCTCTTCCAACTGAGCTATTCAGATCCTTTCGATTCTATACTTTTCTCTGTTATATATATTAATGTTGGTAAATAAACGCCTTTAAGCCAGCGTGTATAAATTAAGAGTTTAACTAGGCTCTGTAATATATAAATATAAATTTAACATATATAAGATAGGCAATAAGAGCCAAATCGCGGATGACAGTGCGTTATTCTAAACGAAACTAAATTTTTTCGTTAGAATTAAATACCTGTGCACAAGGCACCAAATTTTTACTTGGACACGGCCAAGATATAAAATTGGAATAATCTCTACAAGAGATTTTTAATTCCATGTATCCCCTATTCCCCCTAAAGAAATAAAGTGCGAGAGAAAAATATAGATCCGAAAGTCGCAGAATCGGGAATCGAACCCGAGACCTTTCGCTTGCCGGGCGACTGCTCTTCCAACTGAGCTATTCAGATCCTTTCGATTCTATACTTTTCTCTGTTATATATATTAATGTTGGTAAATAAACGCCTTTAAGCCAGCGTGTATAAATTAAGAGTTTAACTAGGCTCTGTAATATATAAATATAAATTTAACATATATAAGATAGGCAATAAGAGCCAAATCGCGGATGACAGTGCGTTATTCTAAACGAAACTAAATTTTTTCGTTAGAATTAAATACCTGTGCACAAGGCACCAAATTTTTACTTGGACACGGCCAAGATATAAAATTGGAATAATCTCTACAAGAGATTTTTAATTCCATGTATCCCCTATTCCCCCTAAAGAAATAAAGTGCGAGAGAAAAATATAGATCCGAAAGTCGCAGAATCGGGAATCGAACCCGAGACCTTTCGCTTGCCGGGCGACTGCTCTTCCAACTGAGCTATTCAGATCCTTTCGATTCTATACTTTTCTCTGTTATATATATTAATGTTGGTAAATAAACGCCTTTAAGCCAGCGTGTATAAATTAAGAGTTTAACTAGGCTCTGTAATATATAAATATAAATTTAACATATATAAGATAGGCAATAAGAGCCAAATCGCGGATGACAGTGCGTTATTCTAAACGAAACTAAATTTTTTCGTTAGAATTAAATACCTGTGCACAAGGCACCAAATTTTTACTTGGACACGGCCAAGATATAAAATTGGAATAATCTCTACAAGAGATTTTTAATTCCATGTATCCCCTATTCCCCCTAAAGAAATAAAGTGCGAGAGAAAAATATAGATCCGAAAGTCGCAGAATCGGGAATCGAACCCGAGACCTTTCGCTTGCCGGGCGACTGCTCTTCCAACTGAGCTATTCAGATCCTTTCGATTCTATACTTTTCTCTGTTATATATATTAATGTTGGTAAATAAACGCCTTTAAGCCAGCGTGTATAAATTAAGAGTTTAACTAGGCTCTGTAATATATAAATATAAATTTAACATATATAAGATAGGCAATAAGAGCCAAATCGCGGATGACAGTGCGTTATTCTAAACGAAACTAAATTTTTTCGTTAGAATTAAATACCTGTGCACAAGGCACCAAATTTTTACTTGGACACGGCCAAGATATAAAATTGGAATAATCTCTCAGTATTTAATTCTAACGAAAAAATTTAGTTTCGTTTAGAATAACGCACTGTCATCCGCGATTTGGCTCTTATTGCCTATCTTATATATGTTAAATTTATATTTATATATTACAGAGCCTAGTTAAACTCTTAATTTATACACGCTGGCTTAAAGGCGTTTATTTACCAACATTAATATATATAACAGAGAAAAGTATAGAATCGAAAGGATCTGAATAGCTCAGTTGGAAGAGCAGTCGCCCGGCAAGCGAAAGGTCTCGGGTTCGATTCCCGATTCTGCGACTTTCGGATCTATATTTTTCTCTCGCACTTTATTTCTTTAGGGGGAATAGGGGATACATGGAATTAAAAATCTCTTGTAGAGATTATTCCAATTTTATATCTTGGCCGTGTCCAAGTAAAAATTTGGTGCCTTGTGCACAGGTATTTAATTCTAACGAAAAAATTTAGTTTCGTTTAGAATAACGCACTGTCATCCGCGATTTGGCTCTTATTGCCTATCTTATATATGTTAAATTTATATTTATATATTACAGAGCCTAGTTAAACTCTTAATTTATACACGCTGGCTTAAAGGCGTTTATTTACCAACATTAATATATATAACAGAGAAAAGTATAGAATCGAAAGGATCTGAATAGCTCAGTTGGAAGAGCAGTCGCCCGGCAAGCGAAAGGTCTCGGGTTCGATTCCCGATTCTGCGACTTTCGGATCTATATTTTTCTCTCGCACTTTATTTCTTTAGGGGGAATAGGGGATACATGGAATTAAAAATCTCTTGTAGAGATTATTCCAATTTTATATCTTGGCCGTGTCCAAGTAAAAATTTGGTGCCTTGTGCACAGGTATTTAATTCTAACGAAAAAATTTAGTTTCGTTTAGAATAACGCACTGTCATCCGCGATTTGGCTCTTATTGCCTATCTTATATATGTTAAATTTATATTTATATATTACAGAGCCTAGTTAAACTCTTAATTTATACACGCTGGCTTAAAGGCGTTTATTTACCAACATTAATATATATAACAGAGAAAAGTATAGAATCGAAAGGATCTGAATAGCTCAGTTGGAAGAGCAGTCGCCCGGCAAGCGAAAGGTCTCGGGTTCGATTCCCGATTCTGCGACTTTCGGATCTATATTTTTCTCTCGCACTTTATTTCTTTAGGGGGAATAGGGGATACATGGAATTAAAAATCTCTTGTAGAGATTATTCCAATTTTATATCTTGGCCGTGTCCAAGTAAAAATTTGGTGCCTTGTGCACAGGTATTTAATTCTAACGAAAAAATTTAGTTTCGTTTAGAATAACGCACTGTCATCCGCGATTTGGCTCTTATTGCCTATCTTATATATGTTAAATTTATATTTATATATTACAGAGCCTAGTTAAACTCTTAATTTATACACGCTGGCTTAAAGGCGTTTATTTACCAACATTAATATATATAACAGAGAAAAGTATAGAATCGAAAGGATCTGAATAGCTCAGTTGGAAGAGCAGTCGCCCGGCAAGCGAAAGGTCTCGGGTTCGATTCCCGATTCTGCGACTTTCGGATCTATATTTTTCTCTCGCACTTTATTTCTTTAGGGGGAATAGGGGATACATGGAATTAAAAATCTCTTGTAGAGATTATTCCAATTTTATATCTTGGCCGTGTCCAAGTAAAAATTTGGTGCCTTGTGCACAGGTATTTAATTCTAACGAAAAAATTTAGTTTCGTTTAGAATAACGCACTGTCATCCGCGATTTGGCTCTTATTGCCTATCTTATATATGTTAAATTTATATTTATATATTACAGAGCCTAGTTAAACTCTTAATTTATACACGCTGGCTTAAAGGCGTTTATTTACCAACATTAATATATATAACAGAGAAAAGTATAGAATCGAAAGGATCTGAATAGCTCAGTTGGAAGAGCAGTCGCCCGGCAAGCGAAAGGTCTCGGGTTCGATTCCCGATTCTGCGACTTTCGGATCTATATTTTTCTCTCGCACTTTATTTCTTTAGGGGGAATAGGGGATACATGGAATTAAAAATCTCTTGTAGAGATTATTCCAATTTTATATCTTGGCCGTGTCCAAGTAAAAATTTGGTGCCTTGTGCACAGGTATTTAATTCTAACGAAAAAATTTAGTTTCGTTTAGAATAACGCACTGTCATCCGCGATTTGGCTCTTATTGCCTATCTTATATATGTTAAATTTATATTTATATATTACAGAGCCTAGTTAAACTCTTTATTTATATTTTATTTTACTACATTTTATATTTGTAGAAATTGCATAAAAAATCTGCAAAAAGATATTCTGTTCTAAATATTAATTATATTAATTATATTAATTATATTAATTTATTAATAAATTAATATAATATATTAATTTTTTTCATATAATTATATTAAAATATATATAAATACATAAATATTCAATTAAAATATACAATTACATTTTATAAATAAAAATATCAAAATTGTGATACTTTTAATACCTAATAACACATACATTTCAATACTTTTAAGACATAATAATGAAATAATTAGATTTTATAATGTGCATAATATTTATTCTCGTAATTTATCGCAATTTTCTGATCTATCAGCGTTTTTATAAGATAAATAATTAAGAGTGAAGTAGTAAAACGTACATTAAAGCAACATTTCTTTATACAATTGATGCGGCCGCTTGTTGAGTAGGCAAACATCGTAGAAGAGAGAAAGTGCGCGAATAACTCGCGTATATGTGTAGCTTTCTGCTTATGTGTGCCCATGAAAGCAAAGAGAAAGACGTTGACACGTTATCACACATAAAAAGGAAAGAGTCTTTCAGCGTGATTCACGAGAAAGAAAGAAAAAAATGATGCGTTGCGTGCGATAGATCTCTAGATCTCTAGATCTCTTTATTCATTAATCTTTATTCATTGCAAAATCACATATCAATAATGTCGGAGCTCTTACTTACACTTTATTTTCTCATACAAAATAACGTTTGATATTTAATTATACTATACTCGCCACCAGCAAGCAGGAACACGTCTATTTGGAAAATAAATGTCTTATTATCACACACCTGTTCGCTTTATATAAGATTTTATCAACAACATGAGATTCTGAGAGATTTCATGCTATTGATATTTTAAATAAAGTACATTATTTGATAATAATTTGAAATTAGTAAATATTTTAAATTAGTAAATTAAGCAAAAATTTAAAAAAATATAAAATTTGTCTAATAACAAAAAAATGCACCCATAAAAAAACTTTTATTTTATTATACTATTACATGTGTTTATAGATTATAAAAATATATATTTACAATTACATATTATCTTCTCTTTATTAAAATATTTTACTAAAATAAAATTTTTGTATAAAAAATTTATTCTAATATATCATACAAAATAAAAGAATTACATATCTTTAAAAATAACAAAAAGATTACTAAAGATTACTAAAAAACTAAAGATTAATTTAATAAATAAATACTAAAGAAGAAAATATATATTGTCAATTATAAATATTACATTCTCTCATTTACCTATAAAATATAATTTTGTATAGAAAAATTATATTCTATATAAAATAAAATAACTACATATATTTAAAACTAACACAAAAAAACACTAAAGAATGATTTAATAAATAAATAAAATTTTAAACAATATAAAAATGTAAAATTTTCCACGCTTTTTTCTCTTTTCTTTCTTTCTTATTAAGGAATGCAAAAAATATATATTTGTTTAATACAAAAAAGTGCATCTATTTAAAAAAAAACTTTTATTTTATTATACTATTAAATGTTTATAGATTATAAAAATATATACATATCTTCAATTGTATAGTATCATCTCCTCTTTGCTTATTAAAATAAAATTTTATGTATATAAAAATGTACATAAAATAAAATAACTACATATTTAAAAAAACCATTAAAAACTAATTTAATAAATAAATGCTAAAGAAAATAATCCAATATTGTTAATGATAAATATTACCTTCTTTGTACACAAAATAAAATTGTGTATAAAAAATGATTATAATATTCTATAAAAAATAACTACATACCTTGAAAAACAAAGTTGAAAAGAAAACGCACTAAATAATGATTAAATAAATAAATAGTAAAGAATAGTTTGCGGTCTTAAAGAAACAGATTTGGAGCAACGAACTTTACGGAGTGAATATTCATACGACGTTGGCATTGAAAGGATATATACTACTACTAGAGGCCCAACTGGTTTTCACTCTGCCTTCACATTCACCAGCACGCCGCAGTCTTGTTCTTACCAGTGCTAGTCTCATTTCGCTTACGACCATTTTGCCGGTTTTATCATATCATTTTTAACAATTCGTGTGCACCTTTGACGAAATTTATTTTAGAAGCTCGATATGCATTATCGACGGTATCGGATATGCATTATCGCATGTAGAGTATAATTGAAAAGATGATGATGACTCGAGTGCGTAAGATGATCATAAATATCGGGAAAGTGCTCTTGATGCCACGAGAAAGTGTAAGTCCGCGCAGACACCAATAAGGACGACAAACCAGGAGAAATTAATAGGATATACAATATTGAGAAATCACAGCGCAGAAATGTACGCGAGTGACCAATTGACACGCTGCTAACGACCATGATAATTAACGCAAAGATATTCTTGCGGTGATGACGATGATGACGAAATCTGCTAATGTGCCACCTGACGGATTCGAGCGACGTGAAGATGTCATATGAAGTTGTAACTAGATTTTTTTGAGTTATGTATATTATTGTTACAGAGCAAGAAGGTAGGAATACGCATAAAAATTGTAGATGCTAACATAATTTTAGTTATTACTTTTGCAAACTTGAAATCTGTGTTATGCATATGTATATTAAAAATATTAACAGTGTGATATAAAATGACATAATCCATATAAGAAAAAACAAAATAAAATGTTACATATGTACATGTAGTAATATTCCTTATATGCAATTAATTCTAAATTAGTTAATTATCTAGATCTTTGTATACGTCAATCTCATTTTTATATCAAAAATTAATTACATAAAAAATGTTAAAAAATATAGTGATTATCCTACATTTATATATTGTAACAAAAATATTATTTTATTATATTTTTTTATATTATTTTCTTAAGGGACAATTATGTTCATAAATAAATTATTTATATAATATTTATATTTTTTTTATAATTTAGTATTTTTATAAAATATCATTTAATAAAACTTTTAATAAACCTTTTAAGTAAATAGGAATTATGCATTTTTATATTCTATATCAACACAGAAAAATCAAGAATCAAAAAAATATTTATCTTATAGAAAAATGATATAAAAAATTATATAAATATAATTTTTTTGTATATATAATATAAACATAGTATAATTGATCATATTATGTTTTAACTTAATAACATTAATCACACTATTTACAAAAAGACTTTACTTTTATATATTTTTATATAAATACGCACAGTAAAAACCGTGTCTAAGTAACAAATTACTGAAAATTACTAAAAATTAAATAAGGAATCAAAAATTTCGTAATTATATTTCGGATTATTTAAGAAAAAAGCAAAAATTACGTAATATATACAATAAATGATCCATATCCAGTTCTTTTATCTTATTTTAAAACAACTTTTTTAAAACCGTTTTTTTTGCTGCAAATATACTATGTGGAATTTTCATATTTAAAAATGTTCATCGAAAAATGTTCATCAGCGAAATTGATAATTTTTTAAGCATTTAATCATGTACCTTTTTTAACGCAAATTGATTCTTCTAATTAATCTAAAAAATATTAGAATACAAAAATATTATAATAAGAAATATTTAACATATATGTAAATAGCTAAATATTTCAAAAAATATAAAATATAAAATATAGCTGTTTTAGTTACAAATTACGTACATTTTTTTGAAAGACAACTGTGTTTCTTTTACATTATTTTCTTTCATTATTTTGTTCATAACGCTTCAGTAAATATTCTATTTTAAATTAAAAACATAAAATTAACATTAATTAACATAACATTCTTTCAGAAGCGTTGCTGATTTGTATGTATGATTTGTTTAAAGAATAAATCTTTCCTTTAAGTCCTCACAATAAGAATTGTATGCAAAAATCATTTATATTCGTTTATTATTCATTTATTATCACAATAATGGACTTCACACAATATATTTTTTTTCCAGAAGCAGTATATATAAGAAAACTATATCATTATAAATTTTCTCGTTATACAAATAACTATATTGTGTGTTTGCAAAGATATCATTTTGTTTGAATAAAATTATTGTATTCTCTTTTAAATAAAATTTATTTCTCAGTGTAAGAGATAACTTACGTAATAGAAATCATAGGTTGACTTTCTAAAAGCATTCATTTAATCACGCACTCAAGCATGAAGAGCAATGGCACTTATATTTAATCAAGTAACATTTCTAAGGAATTTTAAATGCTTGTAACTAAAAAATGCCTGAAAAACTGGAATAGGACTTTTGTATAGTAATGTTTTTCAAAATGTGTTGATGTCAGTTACAAGAATATGTAATAAAAATTAAGAATTTCTATTTTAAAAAACTAAGTCAACTTTAATGTGACTTTAATAATTCGACGATTTAGATAAAATATTTTTGTTTTATATATATACATTTTTTTAAAATAAAGGCACGCTATGATAAAAAATAAGTGAAAAAACACTTTACATATGTTATTAAAAACAAATAAAGATTTCATTTTTAATTAATTATTAAATAAATTAAGAGTTTAACAAGACTCTGTAATATAAATATAAATTTAAAGTGTAAGACAGGCAATAAGAACCAAATCGCAGTAAAATTTGGTGCCTTATGCACAGGTATTTAATTCTAACGGAAAAAATTTTAGTTTCGTTGGGATAACACAATGTCATCCGCGATTTGGCTCGTATCGCCTGTCTTACACTTTAAATTTATTTTTATTAAATAAAGTTAATTAATAATTTGTTTTCAGAAGACTCATTTGTTCCACTAATGCATGAAAGAATAATTCTCGGATGACATGCATTTGGATACTGATGTTTGGCGGTGGAATTAAATGGAAATGGCAACAATATTAACTAATTTGTTCGGCACAACTTCCGTTTTTGGATTAAGTTTGATTCCGCTTTTGGCAATCGGTCTCACTGTTTACAACTACAACACCCTGGATCCAGAATCGCATCCGCAAAATGCACAAGAGGTATGAAGAAAATAAAAAAAAAAATATTATACAAAAAAAAAAAGAGAAGAAATAAATATAGAACTTTTTAAACATCTTATGCAAAGTGTCTGAGATGACCCATCTCTTTTGAAATAAAGAGAAATAGTTTTTAAATATCTGAAAGAAATGTAGACACTTCTATAATGTATCATACAGGATGTCCCATAAGAAATTGCTGAAACTAATCAGCTGCTTTTTTTTGTACGCAGTTATTGAGAAAACAAAAATTGTGTTGAAAAGAGTCTGCAATTTTTAATGGATATAAATAAAATGTTTATATACCAGTTTATTTTATTGAAAAAAGTGCTAATAATTACATATGTAAACTAATGATAAATATTTTCAAAGTGCGCACCATTTGAATTTGTACAAATCTGTTCTTTTACGAAATCTCGTAAAAATGTTTTCTAACATGTCATTTTTAATGTTATTGACGATCCTGTTAATAGCTGCTATTAAATCTGGCACTGTCAAAAATATTTAACTTTTTTCATTACTTTTATCAATAAAATAAACTGGTATACAAATATTTTATTTATATCCATTAAAAACTGCAGACTTTCCTCTTTCCAATACAATTTTTGTTTTTTGTGCATGTATTAAAAAATGACAGTTGATTAGTTTCAGCAATTTCCTATGGGACATCCTGTATATGATAGTCAAACTAAAAAAATACTCTAATATCGAAGATATCTACAACGAATTTGCTATGCTATTTCAGTTGCTGCGAATGTACGACTTCATAGTGATCGGAGGTGGAAGCGCAGGTGCCGTGGTTGCCTCAAGATTGTCGGAGATAGCTAATTGGACGGTGTTGCTCTTAGAAGCTGGCGATGACGAGAACGAAATTTCGGATATTCCTTTGCTTGCCGGATATACTCAGCTCACAAAATTCGATTGGAAGTATCAAGCCTCACCGTCTACCACATCCTCTTATTGCCTCGCTATGAACGACAACAAGTGTAATTGGCCACGTGGCAAGGTTCTGGGAGGCAGCAGCGTTCTTAATGCTATGATTTATGTTCGTGGTAATCGGTAAGTACACCTATTTTCATTGTTATCACGTTTGTCAAATATGATAGTCGTTCAATAAGTGTACAGACAAATGGCTGTTGTTTTAATACAGTTTGTGTTCAATAAATCTAGCAACTTCACCTATTTTGCACCCTTGAAAGCCAGAAATCACTGAACAATTCAAAAGTACACTTTTTGAGAGAACTTGTCATTGTTGAATGAGTGATAGAAATCATTTATAATTAAATAATAACCAAACAGCTGTTTTACGTTGATAATAAGGATGCAAACTTATAGTTCTGATAGTATTGTAATTATTATTTAAGTATTTCTTGAACTAAAACCGTTTGTCTTTTTACTTATCAAATGACCCTCCTTTGCATCAAGTCAAAATGATCAAACAATAATTGGAGATCTTATTTCAGACACGATTACGATAATTGGGCTCGATTAGGTAATGATGGCTGGAGTTACGAGGAAGTGCTTCCATATTTCCTCAAATCCGAGGATAATCGAAATCCATACTTGGCGAGAACACCTTATCACAAGACAGGAGGTTACCTGACCGTGCAAGAACCACCCTGGAAGAGTCCTTTGGCGATCGCTTTCTTGCAAGCCGGCCAAGAAATGGGCTACGAGAACCGTGATATAAATGGATCCAATCAAACCGGCTTCATGCTGACCCAGGCAACGATTCGACGCGGCAGTCGATGCTCGACGGCGAAGGCTTTCCTACGACCGGTGAAAAATCGGTTGAATCTGCATATAGCGATGCACACTCAGGTTCTAAGGCTACTCTTCAACGATAAGAAGAGAGCAATAGGCGTGGAATACCTCCGTGACGGTAAACAAGGAATCGTGAAATGCAGACGGGAAATTATCTTATCCGCTGGCGCGATTAATTCGCCCCAGTTGCTTATGCTATCTGGAATCGGTCCCGGTGAACACTTGGCCGACTTCGGCATACCGGTGCTGTCCAATCTACGGGTCGGGGACAATCTTCAGGACCACGTGGGCCTCGGCGGGCTCACCTTTCTCGTGAACAAGCAGATCACTTTGATGAGGCAGCGCTTTCAGACCTTTTCGGTGATGTTCGAATACATTGTGAACGAGCGAGGACCTATGACTACACCGGGAATCGAGGGTTTAGCTTTTCTCAACACCAAATACGCCAACAAATCCGGCGACTATCCGGATGTGCAGTTCCACTTCGCCCCAAGTTCCGTCAACTCCGACGGCGAGCAAATTAAAAAGATCACCGGTCTGAAGGACCGGGTGTACGATACCCTGTACAAACCTTTGCTCGAAGCTGAAACCTGGTCGATTCTACCGCTCCTGTTGCGGCCCAAAAGCACAGGATGGATCAGGTTAAAGAATAGAAACCCTCTGATCCAACCGGAAATTAATCCCAACTACTTCACGCATAAAGAGGATATGGATGTTCTTGTGGAAGGAATTAGGCTGGCGATGCAGGTGTCCGACACCAAAGCGTTCCAACGATTCGGTTCGAGGCCTCACACCGTTCGCATGCCGGGTTGCCAGAACTTTGCGTTCGACACTTACGAATATTGGGAGTGTGCCGTGCGACACTTCACTTTTACGATTTATCATCCAACGGGAACTTGCAAAATGGGACCACGGAGCGATCCTACGGCCGTCGTGGATCCTCGATTGAGGGTTTATGGTGTTAAAGGACTTAGGGTAGTCGATGCCTCCATAATGCCGGTCATCGTCAGCGGTAATCCGAATGCGCCGACGATCATGATCGGCGAAAAGGCCAGTGATATTATTAAGGAGGACTGGCGGGTGAAGAGGAAACGAAATGTCAAAAGATGACGGATTAGTAGATATTTGAGGGGATCCTAAACGTCTTTGAGTTTTAGTCCTGTTTTATCGACAAAATTTAAGATACAACTGCAAATTCGTTATAGGTATCTTTGATATTAGAGTATTTTTTTTTAAGCTTGACTATCATACACAGGGTGTCCCATAAGAAATTACTGAAACTAATCAGCTCATTTTTTAATGTCATGCAGTTATTGAGAAAACAAAAATTGAGTGAAGATGGAAAGAGGAAAGTTTTTAATGGATATAAATAAAATGTGTACTAGTTTATTTTATTGATAAAAAGTAATGAAAAGTGCTAATAATCACATAAACTAATGATAAATATTTTCCACAGTACCAGATTTAATAGCAGCTATTAACAGGATCGTCAATAACATTAAAAATGACATCTTAGAAAAAGTTTTTATGAGTTTTCGTAAAAAAACAGAATTTTGTACAAATTCAAATGGTGCGCACTCTGAAACTATTTATCATTAATTTACATATGTGATTATTAGCACTTTTTTCAATAAAATGAACTGGTATACAAACATTTTATTTATATCCATTAAGAACTGTAGACTTTCCTCTTTTCAACATAATTTTTGTGTTCTCAATAACTGCGTGCATTAAAAAAATGATAGCTGATTAGTTTCAACAATTTCCTATGGGACCCCGGTACATGCTGTAAATTCTTGCATGCCATTGTCAAATAAGAAGATATTTTGATGAAACACAACTTTAGAAGGTTTTAGCACATTTTATCATAAAATACTCCGGAATATTATTTTTCCCTTGATCTCATATTACAGCTGACTATTTTATAGCTATTGATTGATTATGAAGAAAAAAATAGTTTTTGGACTATTTTAAAAGTGAGTTAAAGCCATGTGAAGGTAATGAATGTTTCATCGAAAAAATATCTTTTTATCTAAAAATACAAGAATTTTTAGCGTGTGCTTTTTCGCCTCTGATGTCACAGTGAGAACTCAGGAGCCTTAAGAGATTAGATATTTAATTTTGTACTTTTTTATACTTTTTTAAAATATAATCAAAATTCTCGTGCGCGGAAACATGTACTATTAAATTCTTATTCTTTTCTTTTCTTATATAATGCTAATACCAGAGATTTTTAAGATTAGTCTATTGTTTTTTTTTATATTATCATAAGTTTCCTTCCGTTTAACTCTTGTTATTTATATAAATCTAATAGATCTTCCCTTCCTTGACTCTCTTATTATGCGCGTGCGTGCGTAAAGACTTGTTATTATAATATTTCAAATGTACGTGACACTCCAAAGGTACATGCATTCATAAGAAAGATCAATATCCTATTTAATACCTACAAAACATCAAATTGATTATATAAGATTATGAAAGTAAGATTTGTGAAAAATTTCTCCTCTTGTAAGATATATTCACATTTATAAATAATAAGTGATTAACTCTCTCTTCCTCTTCCTTCCTTTTTCCTTTTTTTCTTAATAGAAGATATAATATATTCTGTAATATATTAATATAAATATGTAATATAAATTAATATAATTCTGTAATAAATTAATATATATTTAAGATATGTCAAAGTCATTAAATTAATAATAGAAATTACAATAACATTATAGAGGCAGTGCCATTCCTCTTGTAATAATATGAAAAATATAATTTATTTTATTAAACTCATTACAGTTTATTAATTATATATCCCACATACATATACAATGTGTCTTACAAACATCCTATGTAAAATCATTTGTTATATATCCGTATAATAGTTTAGATTTTCATATAACATTTTAATTTATCAATTTTGTACCAATAATTAATAATTTGCGAATTAATTGATTTTATCAAAAATAACAAAAAAAATAATATTTATTATTAAAAGTGTATAACGATTTTTCTTCATCAGATCTTCATCGGAAGGTAAAATCATACAACAAAATCGTACTGATTTTCAAGTCGTAAGCAGACGAGCAATTTTTATAACATTGTATCTCGTGTCAAAAATTACGCTAATGAAATGCACGTTTTCTTATTTTCTACTTCCTCGCTTTCTTATTTGTTGATGCATCCAACAAATATAGCAATGTCAGCATGCCATTGCGTGCATTCATATCGATTTCATTTCCGTCTTATTTTCGTTAATCTCTCCCCACTAGCACTAAATAAATCTAATCTATCTTAAAATTAGATGCTAATTTGTTGCTGAAGACTCGAATTAGGTTTTCAAACGCTTGGCCAGAAGATTAAATTTTAGGGAAAAGGAGATTGAGAACATTATAATATCCCCCTCCATATAAAAAATATATGTATAAATATGTAATAACTATAATAAGAAAAGAAAAAAATAAAGATGTCATAAATTAGATAATTAGATGTTTCAATAAACAAAATTTATTTAAAATAGGTATACTATTTTTTCTAAATATCGCCATAAATGAAAAATTGATTTACTATGCCCCGTTAAATTAATTTTAAAAAGTTGGCTGCTTTAACAATATTGATTTTAAAATATTTCTGTTTTAATGTAATGTTCCATCTATTTTAATACTCGGGCATTTATAATAATTAATATTTTCTAAGAGAAGAAAATAATAATAATTGCTTCGATTAAATTTTTAATAGGTAGCTTAATCGATAGCTTGCTCTGTCTGGTTTACATAACAAAAAAGACTATTATTGCTCTATATATATTATAAAGACTCGTTACAAAGTCGCAATGTTTCTTTTTCATTTAAGAACCGCTGTAATTATTATTATCACCGTTATTGTTGCTTCTCTAGCAAATATATACTGGGTGTCTCAGTTTAAACAATTCAGTTAAATATCTCAAAAACCAAGTTTAGAAGACAAAAATATTCAAATAAAATTTATATTTTTAAAGAGACAAAAATTGTTCAAGGTCTTAAAGCAACATTGTTTCTTTTAAATAGAAAGAAGTGTTTTTTATAGTAGATTCGAAAAATCGTACAATTTTGTGTAAAATTCCTAAGACATGTATGATCTAAGTTCAATAGTTTAAGAATTTTAACAATTAAAAATGTCACTAAAATGTTAATCTTCATTATACATAAGATGTCATATTTTACATAATCTTGAAAGTTGAGAACTTATGTAGGTTTCAGATAAAATATATATAATTTGGGGGGGGAGGTTGGTGACCTTGAATTTGAATGATTGTTTTTCAAGATCATATAAAAGTCAATCTTCTGTTTTTGAATAATAAGTTTTTTATATAAGAATCCAAAAGATTGCACTATTTTGCATAGAAAAATCTTAAGACACACATAAATTCGTGTGCTTATTATTATTAAAATTACAAAAAATATTTTTTATTCAAAAACAGAAGGTTGACCTTCACGTGACCTTGAAAAATGATCGTAATTAATACACGTGGTTGAATTATTATAAACACCTCTTTTTAATATTTCTAAAAACATATATTTTGTTAGAATATTTTTTTCTCTAAAGTTAATACTGTATTAACTACAGTACAGTAATTTTTATTCAAAAACAGAAAGTTGACCTTGATGTGACCTTGAAAAATGATCGTAGTTAATACACGTGGTTAAATTATTATAAACACCTCTTAATATTTTTAAAAAATCACATATTTTGTTAAAATATTTTTTTCTCTAAAGTTAATACTGTATTTAACTACAGTACAGTAATTTTTATTCAAAAACAGAAAGTTGACCTTCACGTGACCTTGAAAAATGATCGTAGTTAATACACGTGATTAAATTATTATAAACACCTCTTTTAATATTTCTAAAAACACATATTTTGTTAGAATATTTTTTTTTTCCCATAAAGTTAATACCGTATTAAATGCAATGCAGTAATTAAGACTGCGAAAGAAGTTAATGAGCATTTCTTTATACACTCCAGTATATCTCGTATATACACATATATTATATACTGTTTTGCTCATCGCGGAAAAAGATTAGACCATTATAATATGCGATCGTATAAATAACGAGACCGTATTATCTCTTCGCGTGTGTCATGCTATATGCATGTATGTGTTTTGTACGTGTATGTGCGTAAGAGAAATAGCGATGTATGTTCACGCGAGTACCGTTTTGTTACCACACTTTTGCCTTACCAGCTGGTAAGGCAAAAGTGTGGTAACAAAACGGTACTCGCGTGAACATACATCGCTATTTCTCTTACGCACATACACGTACAAAACACATACCAGCTGGTAAGGCAAAAGTGTGGTAACAAAACGGTACTCGCGTGAACATACATCGCTATTTCTCTTACGCACATACACGTACAAAACACATACATGCATATAGCATGACACACGCGAAGAGATAATACGGTCTCGTTATTTATACGATCGCATATAATGGTCTAATACATTATCTCTTCGCGTGTGTCATGCTATATGCATGTATGTGTTTTGTACGTGTATGTGCGTAAGAGAAATAGCGATGTATGTTCACGCGAGTACCGTTTTGTTACCACACTTTTGCTGGTAAGGTAGATGCGCGTATACGGGCATAACCACAGGAAGAAAATACTTTCACTGCCAAAGTGCGGTTGGGAGCCTCCGGAAGAACAAGGAGACTAGGCTACAAGTGGGAATGTCGACGAGGAAGAAGAAGTGAGAGTGAAATGGATGGAGGTATATCGGTGCAGTACCGTAACGTTCTTCCGACTGTTATTACTGACTCTATCGCAGTCACTCGACTATCCGGCACGAGATATTTGGAAGTATTTGGGTATTTAGCGGTCCTCTCGAGGCAACATTTTCACAGTACTGTGTGCGTCTCTCCCGCGCGACTGCAAATGTCATCGAACGATGAAATCAATCGGAATATCGTTGTTAATTCTGTTGAGTGAAAACATTCCTCGAGTGACCGTTCAATGACTGTTCATTCATCGGGCAGTAGTGATAAAGAATGATTAGCACAATGTTGAAGAAACTGTAGAGGAGTATCATCAAGCTTGTTCGACGTCAGGTGAATGATAGGAGCATGAATTTTTCCGCTAAAGATGTGGTATTATGTGTAATAATTATATTACAATATTCCTCTTCTTCTCAATAATTAATAATATTAAAAAATAAAAGTACTTAAACTAAAAATATTAACGAAGAAGGAGAAGCTGACATTTATATATTTATATAATTATTATTTATAAAAATAATCGTATATAAAATATTGCAAGTACACATGTTACTTATTTTTGTCACACATAATATGTTCTCGATAAATTATTAGTAAATTATGATATCAATATCTAATATTAGCAAAATTCTACTGATTCTCCCTGATTGAAAAAAGTTTAAACTTTTATGCCAAAAGACAGTTTAAAATAAAACTTTTTTCGCGGCGTAAACAATATGAGAAAACCGATTCTAGTTCAATATATTTTTAATATGTTCTATTTTATTATATTTTATCTTCATTTTATTTGCACTGCACTTAAATTTGGTCTTTTAAAAATATTAATAATTATGATACGTTTTTAATAATTTTTGGTGATGATATCAATACAATTAAAAATATATGTATTAACATTTTTTGATACTAAAAATTCATAACGATTTATAATAATAATGTTTCGATTTTAGCTAATTGTTAAAAAAAATTGGCTCTTATTGTCAGTCAATATACAAGTTCAATATAATAATCAATAAACTTATATTGTCTTAATTTTTCAATTTATTTCTTTTAAATATGGTGCTAACACAATAAAAAAAAATTATTCTATTTTTTACTTTTTCTTCGAGAAATCACCTTCGCTTATATAAGTTTATTGAATATATTATTACTATAGTATGTTAATAATGCTTTTTGCTTGTTGCAACACTTGCATATTGCGTTGCATACAAACAAAAAAAAATAAATAATGTATTTGTTGATAATCTTATGCATATTTCTTGATCTTTCAGCGTATTTTTTTACGACAAAAAAAAATTTACATAACATTTACATGTGTAAACCAATTACATCGTAAACTTCGTATGAAATCATTAAATCTGCGTGATCTGCAATAAGATGAGCAAGGTTCTTTCTATCGTTACAGAGAAAGTATTTGGTTGCGAAATTATTCACCGAAAGCTATTGCGTAAATTATAAATTTTCACGTCTCCAATAGAATTTCGAAATTAACAAGTTAAACTTTCACCTTGACATTTTACAATTTTCGATCTTTTGAAACATTTTTAATTACTATGCGTCGTATTTTTATTGCAGAATTAATTATTCAAAATACAGCAAATCACATAATTTTGAATAAATTTGAAATTTATCAGAGGAAGTAAAAAACACATTAAATATACACATATATACATTTTCATATATACTATGTATATCTGCATTACTTTTTCAGGATATGTATAAAATTTATTGAATGTGTTTTTCCGCTTTGTCGTTTCTTTTTATTTACGCTTTTTGAAATTTTATCTTTTTAACATTATTTTTGTAATTTCAATAATATATATGATAAAAAATATAAATACTATAATATATAGTATATTATAGTAAAATTTATATACTTATTATAGTAATATTTTTATAGTATATAATGTATACTGTAAAAAATAAATTACAAAAATATACTAATTTATTAAAAAACAATTTTTTGAATTTAAGAAATTACACAAGAAATATTCTAATTATTTTAATTGCTAAAGTGCCAAAAATAAATATTTTGAAAATATTAAAATATGATAGAGAAATTAAAAATTATAAGAGCTACAAAATTAGAATTAATTTATCATGCAAAATAGTTGTAATAAATATAATTTTTCTTCCTCTCTTTCTACATATTATAAATCAACAATTTCTTTAGCTTGTGTTTTTTCCAAATTTTTGGAATTGCTCGTCTTTTTAAATTTGGCCAATTATCACTAATTTTCGTCTTTCAGATGAACCCTCTTGCTATAAGAAATACGAGTCAATACACGTTTATCTCGAAATCTCGTCTAATTATTAAATGACAATATTGCACAATTCGAGAAATAGTACGCAATTTGTTTCAGACTAGCGATAAATAGAGGCAAATAATGAGGAAGATGTAAAAACGGAAGGAACTGAAAGAAGCAGCATATATATAATATAACTACTCCATAAGAGTCTCGTCTTGTGGAAGGAAACAAGTCAAACAAAAGTTTACGCCAGTGAAATACTTTCTCCTTTCCCCGTTATGAGATCACCATTTCGTTTCTCCGGATCCGGGTATAACGAGATATTTTATATGCTATTTACAAGTAGATTAAGAATCCGGTATCCACAAAAGTCGCATCTCTTTCTCCCTCTATCTCTCTTTCGTGTGATCCATATTAAATTAAATTAAATTAAATTCTATTCGGAGATGTGAGACCATCTTTAATTCTCTGAGCGATTCTGGCACTTCCTTGTTCCCCTTGTTGCGTGATATCCCAATCACTTTTCCTTCCGTGATCAGGAACATGTCGCTATTTCACGCCGTCATGAGTAAACTTTTCTCTATTTTTAATTACATTAGATTTTAACTTTTAGCTTTGTTTTTGTAGAAATAAAAGGCTGCGATGTTACGTACATACATTTTTTTTTTATAGAGAGAGCCTTCTTTAATATGAAAAAATAATAATGTGTTCAACAAGATCCGTCTACATTCCTTACATAACAGTTTAGTAATTATAAAAATAATATATTATAACAATATAGCGGTAATACAGATTTCATGAAGATGCTTAATATCAAATTTTATATGGAAATTATATAGTCTATATAATTCTAGTTTATGAGTGTATATTTATTACATTTTCTAATGGACTATAAATAAGCAGCGTTATTTGTGCATATTTATTTAACGTGGTTTTTTCAATAAGATTTAGAGTTATTTGATTCAAAGACTATTACTACTAATTTTTCACAACTAAAGACTTTATCGTTTGATTTTAAAAAATATGTAAACATTTGTTTGCGGATATGACTTATAAATTAAAAAAAAATTTTTTTAAATTATTTATAAATTTTCTTAAATCTTCACTTTTAATTAATTTATAAATTATTAATTAATTTATAATATCTTTCGAAATATAAATTAAAATCTCGAGATTTTTATCTAAGATAAATATTGATAAAGAAATTTAATTTTGATGACTAGCATGTTAAAATCATCGAGTAACCCATAAAAAATTTTGTAGCTGTTTCTTGTTGATTATGAAAAAGTTATCAATAAAAATATAAGAAAATTAAAGTTCAAACATAGATTAACAATGCAACATTTAATGTTAAACACAGTTTTTACAGATATTTCTATGTATACTACGTCTATGCATACACAAAAAAATATACATTTTTTTATAGACCTGTTAACAAATATCACATGTATAAAAGTTGTAAATGTAATAAACTGTAAGATCATAAATTCTACATTAGCTGCTATATTTAAACGAATGTAAATAGAAGAGGAACGTGTGTACACATCAAAATAAATTTTTCTAAATCAAAATGTATTATATATTTTTTTAGTAACATTTTAATAGCCTTTAATATGAAATCTATTATCTATAAACACGTTTTATTATTCTTATTTAATTTGTTTGTTATTGTAGGACGGAGCGGTACAGAGAGAGAAATGATGCTTCACCGAAATCAATGGAAATATCATGAAGAATATAAACACTGACGCATCTTTGGACATTCGCTGGTTTGAAAAAATCGGCACGTGGTCACCTGACGTTCCATTATGACAGCCAATGAGAAGAGAAGAAAGAGAAAACGACAACAGCAAGGATAGAATATTCCAAAAAATTCGCGAAGTAGGGAGACCTTCATTGAAAAATGGTCTTCAGCACGATAGTAGTGACATCGGCTTTGAAAGGTGCTATCAGTTTAATGGGCACAGGTTTATGGCTCGTGCCACTGCTAATCGCGGGTCTTTCTTATTATCATTACGATCAATTGGACCCCGAAAGTCGACCTATCGACAGGTACCCTCTGTACTCTGATTACGACTTCGTCGTGATCGGTGGAGGATCAGCCGGGGCGGTAGTTGCCAGTCGACTCTCGGAGATACCCGAGTGGAACGTGTTGTTGCTGGAGGCTGGTCCGGACGAGAATGAAATCACAGACGTGCCATCTCTGGCCGCGTATCTGCAACTGACCAAACTGGACTGGAAGTACAAGACCGAACCGACTGGCAAGGCTTGTCTGGCTATGAAGGGTGGTCGTTGCAATTGGCCGCGCGGTAAGGTTTTGGGAGGCAGTAGCGTTCTCAACTATATGCTGTACGTGCGCGGTAACCGACACGATTACGATTACTGGGAGTCGCTGGGTAACCCCGGCTGGGGATACGACCAGGTCCTTTACTACTTCAAAAGTCGGAAGATAATCGGAATCCCTATCTGCAGAAAAGCCCTTATCACGCGACCAACGGTTACCTAACGGTGCAGGAATCGCCGTGGAAGACACCTTTGGTGGTCGCTTTTGTTCAAGCCGGCGTTGAAATGGGATACGAGAATAGGGACATAAACGGTGAACGGCAGACTGGTTTTATGATATCTCAGGGAACTATTCGCAGAGGGAACAGATGCTCCACCGCGAAAGCCTTTCTACGACCCATTCGACTGCGTAGAAATATTCACACAGCTATAAACTGCCACGTGACGAAAATCGTGATCGATCCATTGACGATGAGAGCAATAGGCGTCGAATTCATCAGGGACGGTCGCAGACAGCTGGTGAGAGCGCGGAAGGAAGTGATATTATCAGCAGGTGCCATTAACAGTCCTCAGATACTGATGCTGTCGGGGATCGGGCCGAAGGAGCACTTACGGCACATCGGTATTCCCGTTATAAAGGATCTTCGGGTTGGCGACAACCTTCAGGATCACGTAGGCATGGGCGGTTTGACATTTCTCATCGATAAACCAGTTGCCATAGTTCAAGATCGCTTCCAGGCGGCTCCGATGACGATGCATTACGTGGTCAACGGCAGAGGTCCCATGACGACTTTGGGTGGCGTTGAGGGTTACGCCTTCCTCAACACGAAGTACGCCAATTACTCGATTGACTATCCGGACTTGCAGTTTCACATGGCGCCGGCGTCTATTAATTCCGATGCGGGAGTGCAGGTCCGGAAAATTTTGGGGTTTACAGACGAAGTCTACAATACTGTTTTTAAACCGATTACCAATCGAGACGCTTGGACCATTATACCCGTGCTGTTGAGGCCCAAGTCTCGCGGCACTATACGACTCAAAAGCTCCAATCCCTACCACAGTCCTGTCATAAACGCGAATTACTTTACCGACCCTATGGACATCGCCATCTTAGTGGAGGGTGCAAAGATCGCGATTAAGATCAGCGAGGCGAAAGTATTCAAGCAATTTGGCTCGAGGCTTCATCGTATCAAATTGCCTGGGTGTAGACAATTCAAATTCGGCTCCGATGCCTACTGGGAGTGCCACATTCGACACATCTCCCAAACGATCTATCACCCGGTGGGCACCGCTAAAATGGGACCACCTAGTGATCCCACCGCTGTAGTGGATTCGAGATTGAAGGTTTACGGTATCGCGGGTCTTCGAGTCATCGACGCGTCTATCATGCCAACGATATGTAGCGGTAATACAAATGCTCCTGTCATCATGATCGGCGAGAAAGGTGCCGATCTCATCAAGCAAGATTGGTTACGACCATCGTCGATAATTAATCGCGAAAGTATGTACTAGCAAAAAATGAACTGACCAGAAGAAAGTTACTTGGATTTAACTATACAATAGTAATTTTTTTTTATAAAGGTGCTCTCTTTTTAAATAAGCATTGCTTTGATATTATATTAGTATAAATCGAGCTATCAAAAATTTTGTAATACGATACGCTGTGATTTTGATATATCTGATTGACTACATTGTAATATGGATTACAAAGTTATATAATTTTAAAAATAATAAATTAGTAAAAAATTATAACGCTCTTATATATTAAAATAAAATTGTAAAATTAATGTAAGAACAAGCCAACTCCAGAGCATAAATTATTAGGATGTTAGTGAATATTATAAATTTTTATTACTTCCCAATTATACTATATTAAAACAATTAAAACATATTAATACATATATATATTTTATAAATTAAACTTCGGCTCGTATACAATTAAAATATGTGATATAATAAAAGGCCAACTTAACGAGCTTATATGCTATTAATTGAAAAATTTATTTATTAATTTACGTCATACTATACAAAAGTTAAGATAAACGTTTCGACTGTACGACAGTCTTTTTCAATATCCTAATAATATGTTAAAAATTAATTTAGTCATATCGACCTTATTATAAATACAACAATTATGAGATTATATGACGAACGCAGTACAAAATTCATGTTTGTTGGCATGAGTTAGAGCGTCAGATGCTGTTATATTATGTAACGACATTTTTTGTCACGAACATAACACTTTTTTTTTTAAATTATTTCTTTTTACTTAACATAATCACAATGTGTACTTTTTTAAAAAACAAATCGATATCTGTAACACAGATCTGATCTGTGTTACAGATATTTTTAGAATGACACTTTTCGTATAAAGCTTTTGTTTTTGGAAAAAAATTTAAAATTTGGAAATGATATATTTAAACTTTTTTTTATAACGTCTCTAATTTTTTGTGATAACTAAACTTCAATAAAAAATTTCATTGAATAATCTTAGATGACGTCTCCTCTCTACGAGATGTTTTTGACACCATTAAAAGATACAAATATATCCTATTTACATCTTGTGTGTGTATACATATATGTGCATGTGTGTGTGTGTACAAGATATTCATAAAATAAGAGTCCAAAGCCCAACGAATAGTGATCTAGTAATAATTTTGTATGCATCATAGTGATGAAGAAAATTCGTATATAGATATAGAAAGCCACAAATCCTTTCTTTCTGAGTAATAATCTTAAAGTTTCTGCATACAGAAAATATTCAAAGAGAAAATGTCAAGGAAATGTTTTTAGAAGATCTTCAGAATCCGTATTGTTGTGTGTGGAGGATCCCTAATACAGAAAAATTTAAGGAATTTCCACAATTTATGAAGCGACACTTGTAAAGTTTGTATCTTCATTTAAGGGTCATCTCTGAGCAAGAACATTTTCTCTAAGTAAAAACTTTGAAAATTTTTAAGTTTTTACTCTTTTTTAAGTTTTTAATCTTTCTTGCGAAATTAAAAATATGTACATATCCAGGGTAAATCAGTTAAAGTGTTACAAACATATATCTCGAAAAAAGCATTTTCGAGAAAGATGTTTCAGACAAAAATTATGTTTAAATAGCTAAGGTTAAAGCAAGGTCATATTAATTTTTATAAATGGAACCACCATATTTTTTTATGTAACTAAATTTCTAGCAATATTCTGCATAAAAAATTATGAAGATAGGATAGTCAAAAAGCAAATAATTTACGAAACATTTTACTTTAACTTCACATAATTTTTTATAAACTATTAAATATCTCGTAACATATAATTTACATACTAGTATCTACATTTTTTCTTGAAAAATAATTTTATACCAATCGATTCTTCTCATTAATTTATGCATAAAAGGAAAAACACCGGAAAATAAATATTTCATGAGATTTCTTATCCTTATAATTTTTTATGCAGAATATTGTCACAAATCAATATATGTACATATATAAAAAATATGAAAATACCATTTATAAAAAGTCAAGATATCTTTGCGTTGACTCTGGCAACGCCATTCATGGTAAACTGTCGTTAATACACCTATTTAAACATTATAACTTTTTTTTTAATCTGAATTTTTCCTCTAAAATATTTCCGAGATTTAACAATAAGTTTGCAACACTTTGAGTGTGATCCTGTATTTTATGTATGCGCACATGCATGCATATCCTATAATGTCCTATATTATACATGGTATTTTATATACTTTATTATCGTTTTAAAATTAAAGAAATTAAGAAGCTAAAATGGTGAATTTTTAACATAAAAAAACGATAAAAAGATAATAAAAAAATTTAATACAAAAAAAGATAAAAATATATTTTCTAGATAAGTTTGGCCTATACTTATTTTTGATATGCTAATATTACAATCGTGCATTATACTTATTGCAATTACACAAATTTTTGCTTTTATCGATTCTTTCTATTATATATGTATATATGTATATAACATATATCTATAAACAAGTGTGATTATAATGCTAATGTGCTACTTCGTGACTTATTAGTATAAAATGTTAAGCCAATTTGCAAATTAACTGGGTAATCTTAAAATTGTTAAATGTGTTTTTGTTGTTATATTTGTGAAATAAACAATGTTATAAAAAAATTTTTTATATTCTTTCCTATTCTATTAATATTTTATAGTATTTTTTTATAAATTATGAGTCATAAATGTGTAATAATTGTGACAAATTTATGATGTACAGAGTGTTTAAAAAAGGTTTGGTCAAACTTTAATAGCGTATTCTATTGACTATAGAAATAAAAAAAGTTTATATATGTAGACATGTATCCAGAAAAATTTCCAAATTATAGGTTGTTTAAAATATTAATTATGAATTTTGTTGATTTTGTTACTTTATTATCAATATTATTATTATTATAGTCAATTTAAACTGCAAACAAATTCATTAAAGTAAATTCTCAAAATACGCAATAATAATATGCCTCTTAGCATCTTATCATCGATTATACAAGAGGTTTCTATTAAATAAATGCGAAAAACTTTAGAAAATTATTCTTCATTGAAAATTAAGAAGTTTTTCAAATTAGGTTTTTAATTTTTTTTTTCAAATTTTGGACAAGTTAAAAAAATAAAATTTGGTGGACTAATAAAAAAAATATTTATTAATATTTTTAAATCTTCTCATATTATTATAAGGATATGACACTAACAACTCCTATTCAATTTTTATTAGAACTTTTTAATAGATCGGAATGTGATCCTCTAAAAATATGCATTAGAAAATTTGATTTTTTTATAAACTAATTTAATTCTTTTATTTTTTTTTTGTAAACTCAATAGTATTTGAAAAAAATAAAAATCTAGTTTTCAACTCTCTCTTTAAAGAAGTAAAATTTCTTAGAAAAGGATATAAAAGTATATGGTTAATTTTCGACAAAGAATCATTTCCTAAAACTTTTCTCACTTATTTAGAAACATCTGTATAATTATGTGTTGTATAATGTTATATTTACATAGTTCTATGAATAATACAATTGGGCATGTGAATATTACATTCAATTATAAATTCATATAATCATATATTTAATAATATAAGTATGCTGTCTTCTAAGCTGGGCAATAGAGCCAAGGAAACGAAACGAAAAATTAATTAATGTGGAACTTTGGGATCTCAAATTGAGATACAGTTCCGTTTAATTAATTTTTCGTTTCGTTTCCTTGGCTCTATTGCCCAGCTTAGAAGACAGCATACTTATATTATTTATATTGAGAGCCGATAAAAATATTTATTTCTGAGTTTATTCACGCCTTGGGCTAATCACGGCGGTATTTACTAACATCTACTAAAAAGGCAAATGAAAAATATAGGATCGAAAGGGTCTGAATAGCTTAGTTGGTAAGAGCAGTCGCCCGGAAAGTGAAAGACGCGGGTTCGATTCCCGCTTCAGCGACTTTTCGGACCTATATTTTTCTCGCTTATTTCTCCATATGTAAGTTTCGAAATTAATTTATATGTGGAACTTTGGGATCTCAAATTGAGATACAGTTCCGTTTAATTAATTTTTCGTTTCGTTTCCTTGGCTCTATTGCCCAGCTTAGAAGACAGCATACTTATATTATTTATATTGAGAGCCGATAAAAATATTTATTTCTGAGCATATATTTAATATTGTATTTTTCAGAACTGTGTAAGCATAACATTATGCAACACACAATTATACAATAATAGTAAATTTATATTTATATAATAATAAAATAAAAGAGAAAAAAAAATACACGAAATTTATATTGTGTAATATATTGAGGTAAATATATCATTCTCTAATATTCAATATTTGTTTTTATAAATTGCGTGCAAGTTATTTTTATCGATCCAGTGTAATGTTTCGATAATCGAAAATTAATAGGCATGTAATTTGTGATTATTGATTACTGTCGAGTGGAAGAGAATGTCGTGACTATATATACCTATATATTTCCACGTTCACTTTGGTAAAGGAATGGAACGAAATTCCATGTCCGGCAGTGCATTACACGTGTAATTGAGGTGGCCTTGTAAACTTGGAAAAAACAGATACAATCTTAACAAAAAAAAAGAAAATTGCATCGTTACTTATAATTTGTCTTTTAAATCGAAATTACGGAAAAAATCACACAAAACATTCATTAATTGCGGATATTATATGTATATTATACATTATGTATAGTTTTTTATCCACCAGAAAAAAAAATCGATAAGATAATGTGTTGTGTACAAATCAATAAATAATTTTCATCGCGCGCGATAATACAAAACTTCATGAATTATTTTGTGTTTAAATATTTCATGAATTATTTATTTTTCCTTTTTGTAATGACTGGAAATTGGCAAGAAACTTCACGGATATGATTCTGGATGAACTCCATGAATTTCAAGGATAATTGCAATATTTCATTATCACGGAAGTAAGAGAAGAAAACATTCAAACATTTCAATTTAGGAAAAATGGAACGAAACAGACGACATTGAACAATCTGTCTTAAAAAAATAGATTAATCGTCAAAAAAAACTTAAGAATCTCATGTCTTTTATTGAAGTCAATTAATAAAGTAAATAATCGTGGAAATTTTATTCTTGCAAATATATCAAACAATAAGTTTTTTAATAATGCGATTGGATAGTATGGATAAAGTAGTTAATAGCTCTTTTTTTCGTTATCTTGCAATAAATGTATGCAATAATAAATGTAGCTTACATTTCCATGCAAAAAGAGACT